CCCAACATGTACAAAAGCTTTGATTGAATCAGGTCGGGCTTGAATTGGATACACCCAACTTGCACCCCTAGCTCTTTTGCCTTAAATTGTTTCACTGAGGCCTCAACCTATGCCTAATTTGATTTTTTTTTTTTTTTTTGGGAGGGGGGGTTAATCCCATTTTAAAGTTAAAAAACTCAAACCCAACATGTACAAAAGCTTTGATTGAATCAAGTCGAGCTTGAATTGGATACACCTAACTTACACCCCTAGGTCTATTGCTTTAAATTATTTTAACAAAACATGTGCATCGCATGAGTTCTCACTAGCTAGTTACACTTCTAAAATTGAGATATAAGTCAACACTCAATCTGGTTGGTTGCATCCAAGTCATATCAACAAAATTACATTATTTTTAATGGTATGGCAATTGTTTTTGGTTTTTAATGGCATGCTAGTACTAGATTACTAGCATTGTCTATACTTTTATGATACTTGCATTGATTTTATGTTATAAAAATCAAATTTAATTATATAACATCAATTTATATCTATACTCTTTATTTTGCAGACATACATAGAAGGTGCCCTTACACTAATATAAATAAAAATAAACAATAGAGATATAAAAAATAGGTCAATAACGAATTTTATATTGGCTTGGGTGAGCTTGATAAGGTATACTTTTATCTTGAATGGTATAGTTAGAGGGTTAATTCATCCTAGTAATGGTCTTAGGTAGGGAGACCCATTACCCCATACCTTTTTATTGCAATGCAAGGTGATGAGGCCAGATTTGGCCCTCCACTGACATCATGGCACATGGCATCTTAGAACAGTTGAATGACACCCCTGCATCACCTAGGCGGTGACTTGCCTTAGCCAAAATGATGGAGTCCCAACTCGTGACCTACCTGCCTTTGCTACTGACTTGGCAACCTACCTCCGCCGACCTAGCGACTTGCCTTTGCTACTGACTTGGCAACCTACCTCCGCCGACCTAGCGACCTGCCTTTGCCACCAATCTGATGATTTGCCTCTACTGCCAACCTAGCGACATGCCTCCGTCGACTTGGTGACCTCGTCTACAACTCAAGCACCTTGACGTGCACAGCTAGCAGCACCTCGTCCAGGGCCAACTTGTGTTACCTCGTCAGTACCGATCGAAGTGACCTTGACGTGAGGAGAGACCTCCCTCGAGGGTTTGCTGACTTGATTGAGGTCCAAGTGGCGACCTGTGAGACGTGTTCACCGACCAACTCTGCATGCATCCTGTCACTCCCGGGTCTCTCGGAAGTCATCTCTCACACCGAATGTTTCAGAGGAATCCGAGTAAGGCACAAAGATTGGCATGCATGCATGACTACCTCCAAGGACTTCAGACTAGCTAGGCACGTCTTCCCGGAGATCCCGGATGTGGTGTGTGATGCCCACGCCAAACAATGCCTATATAAAGAGCTTACCTCCAACCTTAGAAGATAGATGCGCAATTTAACTATCATAGCTCTCTATCTTGCTTTTAGCTCTCTCAAAAAATATCCAGCTCGCTTACTTAAGCATCGGAGTGCCCACCCCGGGTAAAGCAACTCGAGCACTCTGACACTATTTCCTTGCAGGTCGCCCCAATAAGCTATACAGCTCGTCACCATTCAGTTAGGCGTCCGAGCCATTTTTCAGCTAAGAACCATTCAGCTAGGCATCCAAGCCACATTCTAGGTAGGGACTGTTCAGCTAGGCATCTGAGCCATATTACAAATAGGGACTGTTCAGCCAGTCATCCAAGTCACATTCCAAGTAGAGACTGTTCAACTAGGCATCCGAGTCACATTCCAGGTAAGGATTATTCAACTAGGCATCAAAGCCACATCCTAGGTAGGGATTGTTCAGTTAGGCATCCGAGTCACCTGCCAGCAGGGAGATGCCGAAATGTGCATCATCACAGAGCATCTTGGATCTTCTCAATCATGCTATTGAAACTCTTGGTCTTCTTAAGATAAACCTTAACACAAAAGTCAAACCATCTCTCATATGTTATATGCAAATGAATGTATCCTCTTTGCTAAAGCGGACGCGGAGCAGTATCATGTCACAAAAACTAGGTGCTACTGTGCTAGTTATTTTCTTGAAGTTGTATAGTCTAAAAATACCCCCCGAGGAGTTTAGAGGGCTCATGTCAAGATTCAAGAAAGCTTGGAATGCCCAAGGAGTTGTTTGGTCTAAAAAATAAATGCAAGCTAATAGGGGTGCAAATGGATCGAATTGTGATTTGATCCGGTCCTATTTGGTTGAATTTGGACCACTCTTGTTTGGATCTTCGGATTAGACCAGATTAGATAGTAGGATCCGATCAGAAATCGAATCAGATTTGGATCACCCCCTTACCCGATTTGATATATTATATATTTATAAATATAAATATATATAATACATATATATGTTATTTATTTATATATAAATATATTATATTATTTATTACCTTTTTATAAAAATATGTATATATATGATAAAATAATTAAAAATACTTGTATTTTTTTATTTTATTTAAATTATTATTTTTTTAATAATTTATTAATTAAAAAAATAAGTCAGATATGAAGATCCAACTTACCAATAGAATTCAAATTTAAATCGAATATTATCAGATCCGATCGTTACAAGTCTAGCACAATTTATTAATTTATGACATTGCAAGTATGGCAAGAAGATTCATTATCAAGTGGATTGTTGCCACAAGGTTGGGATTTTTTGCACCTGTTTTGAGGACTGGCATGAATGCATTATCTTCGGCCCGTCCTGGTTGGAGTCTTGTTTTTGAGAAATGAATAGTTTAGCCCTTTTGGGTTCTTATCGTTTTTTTTTTTTTTTTGTTTAGGCTGCATTTGTTTTTGGTGTAAATGCACTTTTACACCGATGGAGTTGAGACATGATGGTTCGATAAGAATGTAAAATATAGACTGGCCATTGTGCCCATTTACACTCGTCCTGTTTGGTTACATCTTGTTTCAGCGGGAGATTTATCAAAGAGGGAGGGAGAGAGAGAAGGGCAGAACCGGGGTGTAAAGATTTTCCTTCTCAGAGGCTCATAAGAGAGAAGGGGCAAAAAGATAAAGCCACCATATTAGCTCTTGAAAAATTTTCACTATGGCAGCTAGGAAGAGCTACCTCACCAACGATTAGTTCCGATACCATGTTCGAATTCGACAAACCGACCTATGGAATTTGAATCAGGCTGTCTCGCTCGAGTTGAAGAAACCGATGACCAATGTGTGTGATGCTGCAATCATGGAGGGAGGTCAGTGCCGCTGCCTTTCACTTCCCTATGCCTCATCAGTCTACCAGATCCCCAAGTCCCCATGCTAACAACAGAGGCACAATGGGAGCAAAACGCCCAGTAATGACGAGATGCTGTAGCCATGGAGGGAGAGAGAGAAACAATGGGGTTGCACCCAAATGGAGATCACTACCCAGAAGTAGAGAATGCCCATCTGAATCAGCCTCCAAGTTCCCCCAATCAAACCCCGTTGGAGGTGGTGGTGGTGAAGGAGAATGTCCAAGTAGGGAATGCCCATTTGAATCGACCTCCAAGTTCCCCCAATCAAACCCCGTTGGAGGTGATGGCGGTGAAGGAGAACGCCCATTTGGATTTACTCTGATGTTGTCGATAGACATCGCCTGTTGTTAAGAGAGAGAGAGAGCGAACGAGTGAGAGAAAAGGAGAAGAAGAAGAGAGAAGGAGAGCGAGCGATGTAATAAATATATCGATAATTTCAATGTATTTATTACATCGGTTATCGATGTAATTAAACGGTAAACATGTAATTTTACACCGATTTTAGTGTAAAATTACATGTTTACCAAATGTCTACAAAATCAAACTGGGGTGTAAAGTTTACCTCGGGGTTTTCAAACGCAGCCTTATTGTACCAAAAAAACTAGGGGTTTTCAAATTCGGCTACCAAACCGGATAAGCCAAATAAGTTTGATTTATATGATTTTTGGTTCAGTTTGATTTTAAAAATTAAAATATTTTTTTTTTGTTGGTTTGGAAAAAATTATAGCCGAACCCAACTAAAAACTGAACAAATCATATTTATTTATTAATATAATATACTTTACTGTTATATATAAATATTGTTTATTTATTTATGTATTATTTAAAGATAATATATATTTCTAGGTATGCTAGTTGCCAATACTGTACCCTTGCTATATATATATATATATATATATATATATCGGATTCCTTGGGCTTGTTAATTCGGTTTAGTTCGGTTCTATTATAATATTAATTCGGTTCGGTTTGATTTAGGATAACGGTTAAATCAAAACTAGAGGTGTAAATCGAACCTTACCGCCCGTGGCCCGGCACGATGGTTCACGGGCCGTGCCTGGCCTGGCACGATCATGTGGGCCGTGCCTGGCCTGGCACGATCATGTGAGCCGTGCTGGCCTTGGGGTTTTAGGTCCACAAGCCGACATGACATGTCCTAACCCACAACCCGACCTAACATGACCCGATACGACCCATATAGATTATTTAAATATTATATGTATTTATATAATATTATATAAATTATAATTATAATATATATATATATATATATATAATATTAATAAAATAAATATATATATTTTAATTTTATTATACTAATTTATTTAACTATTGTATATATAAACAATTGTATACACAAAATTCATATAAAATTAAAATTTTAAATTTTTTATTATTTTTTTTTAAATAAATAACTTTGACCCACATGACCTAACTTGACCCAAGGCTCAACCCATGAGTCTGGGCCATGGCCCATGCCGGGCCGACCACCATATTTATCACAAGGGAGGGTGGCACGGCCCCTAACACAAATTAGCCCCCTACACAAACCACAAACCACAAACCACTCTTGAACCCTTGTTGAAATTAGCCCAATGTCCCACAGCACATCCTCGCCGTGTATTGGGAACATCGAGCTTTCGATGACGACATTATCATTTATAGAATTATCATCAGGAGATGTTCCATTCATTCGTTTCGTTCTCCATCCAGTTCAGTTTCTCTATCTACCTCAGAGGAAGAGTTTCTTTACTCTATCTATCGAGCAGCCCTAACAGTCATTAATGGCGTCTGTAAATTTTGGTTGGTTCGAGAACTGGTTTCAGAAACCCCAAAACCCAGTTCCTCAAATCAGCTTGACCTCTTTCAACAACTCTCAGTTCCTCAAATCATCCAGTGCACCAAATTTTGCCTTCATTAGTGGTTCATATTCATTTGGTAAAGGGAAAAAATCCAAACATCCGTCGGAAACGCCAGGCAAATACAAGCGAATGCTTGATCAGTTCTACTGGGAATGCGAAACTCTTCCCGACCATAGAAACACACCAGAGGTTGAGAAAATTCTCAACGAGGACCCTGTATTCGAGAAAAAGGAGAATCCGACGGAGGAAGAGATCAATGATAATGCTCAGTGGTGGGAGGAATTCAGGAAGGACCCCGTAGTTCAGTTCTTGAAACGGGTGGAGGAGATTGATGATAAGATTAATGAGATGGAGCTCAAAGAGAATGAAGTTCCTTATAGGAAAGAGGACCGGAAGCTTTGGAAGGCTTTGCCACATGTCCCGGGATTGGACGGGCGGCCAATGCCGAGGAAGGCGATTAAGACCCGTGAGGAGTCTGATAACAAGTTCTGGGATTTTACGAGGCAGTTTTTCTTTGGACTTTGGGGATTCAGGCAGAGGCCTTACCCTTCTAGCCGGCCAATTGACGTTGCGCAGGCTATTGGCTACAAGCGACTTGAGAAGCGTTACTACGATTGTAAGTTGTTCAATGACTTGACTTCTTCCATTTCTTTGCTTATTGCAGAGATGTGGTTAGTCATTTTGTTACTTCTATTTTAATTTGAAATAGGTTTGATGTAGATGAAAATGTTGCTTTAAATCTCTGATGATGTTTTGTTGAACTGCGGCTTTCATTTTGAGGTTTCTATATGTTGTCTTTTGGTGAAGGATAATCCATCCAACCCTAACTATTTTTTTTCTTTATTATTATTATCGTCTGTTTTCTTTAAAGCAGAACTCCCATTACTTCTCAGTTGTGTTCTGAATTCTCTTCTATTCTATTCTGGTGCTGGTTAACTTGTACTTGAGGTTAATTCGTTAAATTTTATTACCGCTGTATTATTCCATCTATTCTTGCCACATGCTTCTTCCTCCTGGATCTAGTATTTGGATATCACAAGCAAGTATAATTCTTTGGCTTTTGTGCCGACCTTTGCTTCTTTGCCGTGGTTCCTAGGAGAAAAGCTAGGCTTAAAAGTAATGGTGCTATTAATAATGTAGTTATATTTGAACAAGGTAGAATGAAGATTGATACTGTCTGTGCATGTACCTCATTACTCTTCTTTCTCCCTTCATGGTTTCCTTGTAACATATCACTTTAAAGTGCGTATGCAACGTACAAAAATCTTCTTGTCAAACATTAACTTTTTTTTTTTTTAAATTTTTTTATATGGTCCTTTATTTTTTGTTTTTCATTTTAAGAGTCTTATTTCATGTTGGCTGTTGTAGTTATCATGAGAAGCGGTGGATGGTACTACAAGGATCGCTTGGGTCGTACAAGGGGGCCGCTGGAACTAATAACACTTAAAACTGCATGGGGTGCTGGGATAATTGATAAAGACACTTTCATTTGGGGTGAAGATATGGATGAATGGGCACCAATCCACATGGTTTATGGGTTGGAACCAGCAATTGCCACTTGGGAAGGTTTGTCAAAATTTCCATTTTCTCATGCTTAAGCGGATAAAGTTTTGGGGTTTCATTTTCTTGCTTGAATAATGTGAAATCTATGCTCTATTTGATTCAACAGAAAGTGCAAAGAGAATTCTTGTTGCTTTCCTTGACGTTGTTTGATACTTAGCCTAGCAATCAAAATTTGGAAAACTGACTGTTGCTGAGTCACCCATCTTCAACTTTCTTCCTACTGTCTTGCATTGTTTTTTCAATCAGAAATATGGCCACCCCCTTAAAAAAAGCTACCTAGAAAAAGAGAATTGGCATAAATGCAAATTGAAAAGAAAAAAAAGTTTTCTTATCTTAATGGGCAACTGAACACATCTTAAAGGATACAGCAGAAGCATGCAGGCTATCTACTTTGTGTATTACTTCTTACAAGTGTCTGGCTGTATACTAGTGAATCGTCCAGAAAAACAAGTTTACTGAGACAATCTCAAACAAGAATTATTAGAACCATCTAGTTGGGTCATCATTTGTTCAAAGTGATCTAGGGGCAAATGTGCATCATTTATGCCAAATCCTACATTGTTCTCTCACTATGGTTCTGTCCACATGGTAGTTTAGATTTTTAAAATTTAATTTTTAGCAAGCCTATTATCATCTACTCTCTTCTGAAAGGTGTCTTTTCAAATGAGAAATCACTATTTCATATTTCAAGCAAACTGATCCTTGGCAGATAAAAGGATTAAGTGCATGATGCACAAAGATACTGATCATTTTGTTTGGCAATCTCCAGTTAGGTTAGGTGCTGCTGCTACAGCTTTTATTCACAAACTCATGAAAGGTATTCCTCCCTGGGTTCCCCTGAAGGGGCATGAGAAGAAAACATATAAGCAGCTTCAAGAAGAGGCACTTGAGAGCAAAAGACGTGATTTAGCTGTACTTAAGGCAAATGGTGGTATGTGGCCCGGGGTCAGAACCCCCAGTCATGCATTGTTCCTTTGGGCTAGTGGATCTGAACTGACAACGATTTTAGAGGAAGACCACATGCCCAACAAATACATTCCAAAAGATCTTAGGTATAGTACTATTCATATCTCTTTTCCTTTAATTGTTCTCCTGTTTGAGATATTTTGGACTGCCTGGATAAGTTATCCATTAGACTGTGATAAATTTGGGCAATAATTACCTGCATTTTTGTTGTTATGGGTTTGGATGTGAAGTTCTTTCTAATTATTATTATGGTTATAGTTTCTGAATTCTTGTTTACAGTATCTTTTAATTTCTTCTAGAAATATATTTAATAGAACAAACACACTGCAGTTTGGTTATTAGTGGAAGTTTGAATATATAAATTTTAGATATCTTCTTTTATTTTCCACCCCAAAACACTGCTTTGTGTGGTGTACCACGTTATAATTTGAGACATTACGTAATTGAGAAATTATATGTGTATTGCATGTCGTAATAGTAGTTCTATTTTGCTGGTGAGATTAGGGGGTTGAAAATGGAGGAAGGTTCGAAGAAGATCTCTAAGGGTGGAAGCAAAGCAGTTCCTATTTGAAAGTTACAGGGTGAAAGGGAAGAAAGCTTTAAAAATCAGAGAAATTAATATGGCCATGGTGTTGCTGGTAGGGGAAGAAGCATTGGTGTGGTTTCAGACTTTCATGGAAGATGCTGCTCAGGTGAGTAGGAAGTCTGAATACAAAGATTCAATTGAGATTAATGGGAGGAGGTATATAGCAGAAAGAAGGGAGAATCCTAAAGGAAGGTACGTGGTGCTTATGGAATTCTTTGGGGAAGGAAAAAGAGCAGATGGTTTGCTTCCCTGAAGGTAAGAAGTGGAATGGCTGGGAAGAAGTTTCAGGGATTTTGAAGGACTTCATTACATGGGAGGAAGCTAGAGAAGAAAGTAGAAGGGAGCTAGTAGAAGAAACACAGGGGGTTTATGGAGACTCTACAGTGAGGGAGCAGAAGGAACTGCCAGAAGAGGTAACAGAAATGCAGCTCATGGCTCAAGCAGCAAAGGACTGTAGAATGGTTTACAGCATGCACAAGAATGACTGGGAGAAGAAATTTATTGTTACCTTAACAGCCCCACCGAAGGACTGGAAGAGAATTGCTGAAGAGTTACTAAAGAAGCTGAAGTTAAACAGTACTATTATTTTAACCCCCTTTGAAAAGTGTAAGGCCCTTCTAGAGTTAGTAGAAGAGAAAATGGAACTCCAGTCTATGTGTTGTCAATTGGAGTCAGCCTCTGTGACTGTTTCAAAATGGATTCCTCATTCCAACTCTAAGGATCTGCATGCGAGGGACAAAGTAATTGTTCGAATCTTGGGGCTACCATTTCACCTATGGATTTCAGATGTTTTTGTCTCAATAGCAACTCTATGCAAAGCAAGGTTAGAGTTTTTTTTTTTCGTTAAAGAGCTCCATTCAGCTACAATATGTTTGAGTAATGTAAACTTGGATTGGAAGATATCCCACGTTCAGTAAAGGTACTGGTTGATGGAATCTTTTTATTCAGCCTGGCTAGTTACAGCCATTGAAGCTGAGCCATGGAGGGAGGGAAGAAGGGAAGAAGATGAGAAGGTAGAAGAAGAATGGTTTATTGATCAAAAAATAAAAAAGGTAGAAGAAGAATGGTCATGTGGAAGAAGTCAAGTGGATGCAGGAAAGGAGAAAGGAAATTACACTGAAATGGCAAAGCAAAATCTGGGGAGAGTTGTTAATAAGAAAAATGGGCTTGGGCTTTTGAAACAGGGGCTGGGTACCTTGAAACATACTTTGGGCCCAGCTGTTGCGCCTCAAAGGGCAGTGACACATGACATACTTAAAGGGCACGTGAGCCCTAAGGGCAGCCCATTGATGGACAAAAGGATTAAAGTATCGGTATCGGACAACTCGGATACGGATATGTATATGCTTTGGAAATGCATGGGTATGGACGAAAAAGATGGGAAACACATGGATACACTAGGGAAATACATACTAATTTCATAAATACATTAATAACACTAAATTTAAGATCAAAATGATCACAAAATAGTATATAAATACATAGAAAATGTAAATATTAAGGATATATATGAAGAAATATATTACGGTTAATGTACCAGGATGCATAATTTTATTTATAGTGCATCAATCAAGAGTCCAAGACATTAAACATATGCACCTATTATATTTTAATTATTATATCAATTATTTTTTATTTTACTATTTTAATTTTTTAACATTAAGAAAAAAGCAACTAAATATTACATTTTCAAGTGCAAATTAAAATATCAATTAATAATTTACAAAAATATAATCTTAACTTAAAGTATATCAAATATGTTAAAATTTCTAAGATACATATGATATACAAAGTCATAGATTTTAATTACTAAAATAATTATTCCATTATTAATATATTTATTTCTATAAATTTTATGAAATAAAAAATCATTTTTTTGAAATAAATGTAGATTAGTGGATTTGATAGATTCAATTTAATATTATATTCTTTAATACTTTGTATATAATATTTTTTTTTTGTAAATAATAAATATGTTGTTATTACTTGTTAATGTAAATTAAAATATTAGTTAATAACTAGTAAAAGTATATAAAAATTTTAAGATTTATATCATGTGCAATAAATTTTAAGTATTAAAATAATTATTCTATTATTAATATTCTATTTGTACAAATTTCTTGATATTAAAAATCATATTTTTTATATAAATGTGGATTTGATACATTATTTATTTTATTAGTTTATAAAATACTTTTTTTTTTTTTAAATATTATTTTTTTTTAATTTTTAGCTAGAGTTGTTAAATTTAAATATGTGCTTTTTATTTAATTTGCATGTGAACACAAAAAGTTAATAAAATTTATTTTATTTCACTTTATATCACGAAATGAAGCGTGGCTTAGTGCTTTAGAATCACATCGAGTTCTAAACGTGTTGGGTGATTTGTGATTGAATCACCTTATTTGCATTTTTTGAGAAAGCTGATAGATGCAACGCGTATCGGTGCGTATTAGCCTGTATCAGTGTGCATCGGCCGATACGATGTGATACAGTTTGATATGCATTTGTATCCGTCCAGTACGAACGATTGACGGGATACACTTGTATTCGTAACGTATCTCATATTGTTAGTAACCAATACCGATACGATATAAAGGGAAAACTTTGGTTTCTCCTGAAAACTGAAACCCAAAATTTAATAGATGCGATGGTAAAGGTAAGGAGAAGGTGCAAGACTCAGATTCAGAGTTTGAAGAGAGTTCCAGCGAGGGCGATTCAGACTCGAGTTAATGCTCAAGCTTGGGTAGCATAGATCAAACAATGCAGATTGATATGAATGAAGTAGAGAGTTTCAACACTGAAGAGTTGTTCTTGGGAAAAGAAAAGGAAAACTTGATCAATACCAAAGAAACAAAGGAATCTGGGCAGGTAGTACATGTAGTCGAAGTTGAGCAGACGACATCCTCCCCTAACTTAGAGAGATTACCTCCAGTGTTCCAGCAAGAACAGGATGCACAGGAAGTGAGTCAAGAGGAGACTTTGAAGATGAGTATGGAGGCAATAGAGAAGGGTGTACTTGAAAAGGTTATTGGCGCAACTGGAATTGTTAATTATCCCACTCCTACTCAACACAAGCAAAATTTTCAGGGGCTGATTCTGATATGTTGGGCTCCAAACATGACTCCCCAACCACACTTGTCTTCGATCCTCATCCAACGTCTCCAAGTGTGTCCTTTCAGTTTTGGCTACTGATATGTGTGCTCTGCTTGAAATAGGTACACCAGCTACCCAACCTGATTGGTTAAGGAGGGAGGGTGGAGATGGGACTGTGAGATTAGAAGAGGGAAAGGTAGAAGATAGGAGGGGGTAGGAAGAGGAAGTGAAAAGGATTTGGGGCCTAATCAATGAGTTTCTTGATGATTGTAAAAAAAGGAAGAGATAAGTCAGGAGGGCGTGCAAGAAAAGGACGACCCAGTCATAAGGGAGAATACAAGGAGGGAGGGTGGAGATGGGACTGTGAGATTAGAAGAGGGAGAGGTAGAAGATAGGAGGGGGTAGGAAGAGGAAGTGGAAAGGATTTGGGGCCTAATCAATGAGTTTCTTGATGATTGTAAAAAAAGGAAGAGATAAGTCAGGAGGGCATGCAAGAAAAGGACGATCCAGTCATAAGGGAGAATACACAAGATCAAGGAATTCAGAAGACAAAGAAAGAGTGAAGAAAAAACAAAAAGCGGAAGAAGAAAAAGACAAAAGCAGAAAGGATGATCTCTGATGTAGAGGGTGATATCGAATTTAGTGGGAGAGGAGATAGATGGAAGCAACCAAAGTAGGGAGGGAAGAATAAAAAGAGGGTTCAAATTAAAAGGTGAAAATTCCCTATTGGGGAATGGCTTGAAAGAGGTCTAGGAAGGGCCTGTTGTGATAGATTTGGAAAGTAGTCCTCCCAATCTGCAGATACCCTTGGTTCAGGGGCTTTGAGAACCCCCTATTTGCTAATGTTGTTCATTCATTCATTGCAATAAAAAATCTTCTTAAAAGGCAATGAAAGTTATAAAATCATTATTTTTTATGTGAGAAATAAGAATTGCAGACCCTAACATAGACTTGTTCGGGCTTGCCTCGAGGGGCGTGGTACAAAGGCGACTCATAGAATCAAGAATGCAATATGTTTTACATCACATTAGCTACTTGAAACAATGCAATTAAGGAAAAAAAAAGATTGTGGGTTTTACATGCTTGAAAATGCTTTATATGTTTTCTTTTATTTTTAAATTTTCATTTGAATATGCTTTACATGTTATGTTTATGTATTTTAATTTTAGATAATAGATTTTGTAAAACATTTATTTTGAAATTTAAGTTCATATTTTTATTAACATTATGTTTAATATTTTTTGATTTTTTTTTTGCATTTTCTGATTTTTTTGATTTTTAGCTTTTTTTTTTTTGGGTTAAGTACTCTGCAACCCAATGCAGAATTCTGAATGACAGCTCCCCGTAGTCTATTAGTAGCCCCCTCCCCCCTATAAACCGCATCCTGCCCGTGAATTTGGCATCAATTCACGGTCAGGATTCATCCCCCTGTACGGTGGGGATACAAAATTCTGACCTGGACTGATCAGTCATTCTCCTTTATTCTTTTTGTAATTTTGCACCTTGCTTAAAAAGGCGTGTGCCTCGCCTTGCGCCTTGGCGCCTCAGGCACAAATTGGCCCTTGCGTTTTTTTTGTGCCTTGTGCTTTTAAAACACTGCCCCAACATTTATTGAAATGAAATGCTAATCTGGAGCATTGTAAGCTGAGATGGAAGATATTTTTGTCGGGTGTTACTTGAAACACCCATGAAATGCCCAACTAAACAACAAAGATAATAAATGTTTAAAGTAGCATTTTTCAATTAAACATTTATCTGAGAAACATCCCATCTATAAACGCCCACAGAATCATACACATACTCTATTTACATTTTTTTGTTTTCGAAAAAAATCAAAGTAATTTTATTAATAAAGATCAACATAAACAACAAGCAGATGGCATTGCAAAGCAAGCCCCGCTGCAAATACATGATCACTTTTCCCACAATCTTAACACAATACACAGCTGGATCGAGTTGATTAGCAAACATATTTTAGACACAGAGACCCAGGAGCCAATTCTACCAATCACCGAGTTAAATCATCTCCTCCCCACCCCTAGCTCTATTAGTGAGCACTCTTCTATTCCTTTCTGTCCAAATAGTTCAAGATGTTCTTTTTCCATTTTTTTTGTCATACTTGAAATCCATCTGGCATCAAATCTTTGACTCTTTCACATGTTACATGTTGGAATAGCAGTAGTATTTAATGTGGTGGACATTGGATAAACTACTCTCTCAGATATTAGATATTGCTTCTCCTTTGAAAGAAAAAGGAATTTACAATATATTGAACCATTAAGAAGACATTGTCTTTGTTACATTTTTGACGCTCAGAAAAATAAGGAAAAAGAAGAAAAAGGGGGTATGCTAACAAGTTTTTTGGTTTTATTTTCTGCTTTAAAGATGTTAAAGCTCATGAGGACCAGCATTGTCCTTCTGTCATTTAAACATCATCATCTAAGCCTTGTCCCAACCATGTAGAGTTGGCTACATAAATCCTGTTCATCATTCTGTTCTGTTTAGTGTGACATCGTTTTAGTTTTTCCATGCCTTATCCCATCTATATGGGGTCAGCTTGTTCAGTGCCATATCCGCTGTTAAATTATGGGCGCTTAAATCACTTCTTATTACTTCAACCTGCCTTTTAGACATCTCTGGTTATAATTTGTTCCGCATTTTATCTTGATTGCTGTATTCTTTTATGTGATTATCTACCTTCAAAAGAGTAGCAACAGTATGGTATGATAACTGAAAATGTGCTTTTGCTTTCTATTTGTTTCAGGATTCAACTTGCTAAAGCTATACCTGGTTTGAGGCCATGGGAAGTCTTAAGTATAGAGCAAGCAATGGATCAAATAACATATGATGGGGAATGGTATCGCGAACCTCTTGGTTCATACACAACAGGTCCTCCATACATCAAGCATTGGAATAAGGATGCTAAGGTAGATTCATGTCTAATCTTGCCAGTTATTATTTTAAAATTCTCTTGTGGTATCCCATGCGATCATTTGAAGATGATTGGTGTGCACTAATTTGTTATAAATTCTTTCTACAATATCTACAATAACAATGAAAACATCAAGTATAAACTAATTCTACCATTTTATGTTACATAAAATTCCAGGAAGAGCATGGGGATGGAAACTATTAAAGCTAGAGGAAACATGATAGCTTCTATAATAAACTGCCTATATAACTTTGTTTGCAATCAAAACGTTGCCTGGCAGCTCAGTCAGGGGCCCAGGGCATATGGTCCCTTGTTTGTGCATTGGAATYCAGTCAGGGTGCATATACCAAAAATGACTGGCCAGGATGGCAGTTTGGGTCAAGAACCGTCTCTGCTGTTAATACAATTTTCTTGAATACGCAGGGGACCCCAACTCTGGTTGAGGGTTGTTGCCATGTGCCTATCTACATGATTTGCATGGCCTATTAGCTTATAAGCAGTCAGACCTAAGGTGGTTAGCCTACTTTATGGGTGGATTTGTGAATCCAGTGGTGGTGATGATGTTTGTTTTCCTATGCACATTATTACAATAGAGATTTATGCATTTATGTGTGATTATAATGCATCTTAAACTTGGTCAATACATTCAGTTGAGTGAGCTTTTTCTGCTTTGAACCTGCTCTGAATCTGTTATTTTTAAATTTTGCGTGCAGAGGTTGTTTAGGAACTTCTACGACCTCAGCTGCCGTGTGGTTAACAAACTGGAAACGACAATTCCAGGATTTAGTACTGTGATAGAGAAAGTCCGGGCAGATATAGATGCTCGACATGCAAAGCGGAAGGAGAAGAGAGATGCAGAGAAGAGGCTTGAGCAAGAGATAGCGCTCTTCGGTCGACCTCGATCAGATCCATAATGTTTTCTCATGCTTTCATAGTTTTGGTTCGTGTACAGAAAGTCATCGTTTCTTCTCTGCTGAAGCCCTGAAGGGTTGAGATGATATATGAGCTTCTTCAAATGATTGTGATTGTATTACTTCTAGTAGTAGCTCGTCATTGGCTCGTGACCTTGTTTGAGGAAAATGTAAACGTTTTTGTGGTTTTTAGTTTTTACATGGGTTGGGACTTGAGAGCAGGGGATCTGTTTATTGGTTGGCATTGGGGTATGAGGGTATCATCCACCATTGGCTCGGATGTTTTCAACCCAGCGCTGTGAACTTCTGCTTGCGGCTCGTAGTTGGTGTTTAGCATCTAGTTGTTCACTTGTTCTCCTAATGTTATAAAGTTGAACATGTAGTGATGATACAAGTAACTTTTGAAATTCTATTTCTCTGCTATGCCAACTATTTGATTGGGTCTGGTCTGAATGACCTGTTGTTAAATTGGTTTCAACTTCTATGGTTAATATCCTTCTCAAAGATGATTACTATGCCAGTTAATGGGTACTTAAGTATATATTAATGCAAGTATCCATGTATAGTATGTAGCTATGTGCATCAACAATTCTCTACCGGATCTCCTGCACAACACCTCTTGGATTGTGCCAGCAACTTATATGTGCGACTGCCAGCAACTTGACAGATATAGAAGGGACCTCCATTTTTTAATTTTTCCATATTTTTAAATTAAAAAAATATCAAAATAGAAAAAAAAACGGGCACAACTGATATAAATATTTGTGGAAGAGAAACACATCTTCCGCAAAGGTTTTCCATCGCATTCAATCTTGAATTAGTAGTTTGCTAATAATGCAGTTACAAAAATGCACTATTGGTGAAAATTCATATGTTCAAAGTGAAAATTAGCAGATACCCAAACCCATGTGTGATTTCTACCAGAAATTGAAGGAAATATTTTGATCTTTTATTTCAAAGAACGAGATCAAACGGGAAAGAAAAAGTAAGAAATCCAAAAATGGGAGGGATCTATCAAAAAGTTTCAAGATCAAAATCTCCAAAGGTTATGAAGAAAAAGAAAGAACAAAAAAAAAAAAACACACACACACAAATACAGATGAAAAAAATGTTTGCTTGAAAAAAGAATACCTTTGTTTCTTGACTCCTAACAACTTCTCTTACAAGACGAAGAAAGACATTAAACCAGTTGAGATCTCCATACCCAGTGGCTTTTTCGGTTGTCATCTTCTCTAGGATGAAAGTAAAATCTCTAATCCAATCCCCGTTAATCCATACTCGATTTCATCTCTACCTTGTATAAAAAGTGTGTGTTTCATTTCGACCTATTTATCCCTATTTTAAATGAATGCTATTTTCATGTTAATTTGTTTTTGTTTCAGGTTTCAGATTTATCATAATTTTCTGGAACTGCAATATTTACTGTGACGATGCCTTTCGAAAAGCCTGAGATGCCATTAGGGCAATGGAGAATAGTTAAATTTGCAGGAGAACCTGAGAACCACTCATGATGCGATAATGGGTTGGGTTTCTCAAGGAATTTCTCACAATTGGTGCTCGTCCTGTTTTCCAGGCATGTTTCTCCACCCAAGATCGGAATAATGGAGATTTAAGAGGGAGGAAGGAAATGAAGCTTCTTGAACGTTATCAATCATCTGTTAAGTTGCTCGCACATACAAATCTTTCACCCATGTGACACTGACATGGCACAACCCAATAAGTTGTGCAAGAAGATGTATAGAATGAGATGTGCAAGAGATTCGGACTCCAACAATTCTAAGGGAGATCTTCTGGTAGCTCTGACATGTAAAAGAYGAGCTTTTATATGAAGATCTGAGAAGTCCGAAGAATGTTTGGCAGAAGTGCATCTTTTCGCACAAAATTAAAACGTGAAAGACGCGAAAAGCTTCATTTGAAGTTTTCCGAAATCAGCCCAAAATGGGCTTTTTGCATCTTTTCGGCATTGTCTTTTGGCAGCTAGATTTTCTGCGAGCCAAACGGGAATGAACCGAAAGTCAGTCTTCCCGACTTGTAAACAGCTAAAAGACCGCACAGAAAGACGCGACATACAGGCCCTAAGTTTACAGGCTCACATCTGAACCGTAGACATCCTTTGAAATTCAAAGAAGGCGTGTAAACGCTATAAAAAACAGAGGAAGCGTAAATATGGTGAATTGGGTTCGGGTTGTAACAAACCGGCAGCAAACACGACCCGTTGACATCTCCTGGCTTGAAATTAGGGTCTACACTCCAGGAGGAGAACAGGGAACTGGGAGCTGCACATCGAGTTGCTAGCATATAATACATCATCGATTATACTACAGATCATGCAATCTCATCGTGTTGCATTTTCATACGGGCAATCCCACGTACGATTATTAAATACATATTCTCGTCAGTAAAATAAAATTTTCTGCCTAATGATAAATACAATGAAAGTCAAGTATCAATACTCCCAACTATAGAAGAAACTCCTGAATAAAGCACAGAAAACCAACTCATCATTTATATCAAGTATCACATACCTGATCCAAGCAGAATATCTTACTAAGTTGTAAACTTGATTCATTTCACGCCCAGAAGTTCTAATTAGATGCAGATAACTTGAGGAGATGAGTTTACAGGCAGCAAATATATTGTATCTCCCAAATTCTTTCAGGAAATGTATCCTTTGCTCTTTAAACTTTCTATGGAATCCCTGATAATTTGCTCCATTGAGATGAATTGGAGACCCATGTCAATCAGTTTCTTAGATGCATTCTTGGCCCTTAGCAGCCCTGGTTGGGTATCTTTTGGAAACCTACATAAAGTATGAAAAACCACACACACCATAATTTCAGAAGTGAACATGAATTCAACCATCTAATTGGTGTAGATTTTCTAGGAAGGACCAACTCTATGAATCATGAAGCCTCCCTCCCCTCTATGCACCAGGCCTCTCTATACTTGGATATTGCCCTTATATGGGGCTTTGAAATCATGACAAAGTGCAGAGGCTTGGCATAGCATATCTATAGTAGATAATACTTGATAACAGCTGAAGTGACCGAACTGAATGGCTTATTGCTTTGTCTTTTAGTGAACAAGTTTTCAAGGATGTTGTAAGCTCTTTAATGGCTGGAGCATAAATTAGGTTGATTACTATAACCTCAAATTATTTATTTATTTAATTATTTTACTCACTTTAAAGAAAAAAACAAATCATTCTACTCAGCCACGAGGCATTTTCAAATGGTAAAGTGAATTCACCACAAAGCTCAAATGCAGACCTGAGATTTAAGCTTGAAATAGAAGGTTCCCTATGCAATTTGCTCCTCTCAACTCTAGCTCCAGTCAGGCTAACTAAAGAAATGGCTGGTCTTTGCATCAAGCTGAACGAGGCATTACCTAACCACCAAAAGCCTGACTTCCAAAATATTATGTAGCGGAAGACAAGGTCTGTCTGCCACAGCTTTCATCCACCTACCACCATCTGAGAGTTGTCCTCCACCTTAGTTCAAGGTAGAGGATACAAAGCATATCTCTCCCTCTGGTCCTTAAAAGCACCCCCAGAATCAAAATGGACTGGGCTCCCAATTGAAAAGTCATCAGAGTTCAGCTTTATAAGCTTCTAGGTGACAATGGCAATTTGAGGTGCCGCATTGCCACCTTTAGATGCATGAGGCTTAAGCTTCATAGGTTACTGATTTTTGAGATAAACATCAAATTAATACGAGGAAAAATATAGAAAAATGAACAAGATGAGTGCATTTTTATGTAGGAAAAGCATACAAAATGAATAAATGATCACATAAACAAATGAGCTATAAATATTAGGAGCTTTAGAGAAATCAAATTCATTCTTACAATTCATTTATTAACTATTAAGAAGCTGTAAATGTAAAATAATACTTCAAACTTTGTGTTCACACGCACACAGGGAACATCTCAAGCTGTGAGGAATTTTATACTTTCAGGAATGAGATTGAAGGTGTAAGCCTTGTATATTTTTCAAAACATGTTGCATTTTACAGTAATACTAGTGGGGACCTGTGCGATACATGGGATTTATCAAGGAAAGTGAAATAATCAAAACTTATAACTAATGAAAGAATGCAATGTTGTTTAAAATAATTAAATCTTTATTTTAATAATTTATTATAAAATGTTTTAGTAATTTAGTAATTTGAATTAATTATATTAATATTTTTAACAAAAAAATAAAATATTGCTAATTACTTAATAAAATAATTATTATTTTTCCATATTATTTGTTAATGTTCTATTTTATTTATTTTACTTTATCAATGATTAAATGTTTCAATTGTTTGTAAATATCACTTAAATATTTAAAATACTAAAAATCAATAAATATATAAATTAGGCTATATATAGTCATAATTAAATTAATCTATAGTTAACTTTTTTAGTCATAATTAAATTAATCTATAGTTAACTTTTTTAGTCATAATTAAATTAATTTAAGCCCAAACTTAAGGTTTAATCCCAACCCACCCAAGTTACATGCATCGTAACATTCATAATTGGACTGGACCAAACCAAGTGCAATCCAGCATGCATTATTTTTGTTTTTTTTAACTATTTTTAGATAATATTAAAGTTAAAGTAGCTATGAAGGATGGGTTACCCCCATTGTGTAGCCTAATGAACCAAATAATTTAAAATCTTGGGCTAAATTTTGATAGTGCACTAGTAGTTTTTAAGGTTGCCCGGCCTAGCGCAGCCCACACCTTAAGTGTAATAATATTTGTCTAGGCCTACAAGCTTACCCATGTTAATTATAAAACTATGATTTTTTTTACAAATTAAAAAAATAAATTTTTAACATTTCTATGTATATTAATATAAAATTTATTATCTATACATTATATAATAATATTTACCATATGTGCATATGACTTCCAAGTTGAGCTTATTATGGGTTGTTTAGCTTAGGCTTTATCTGCTAGGGCCATCTAATGAAACTATCAATTTAAATCAATTAATAGTTTTGTATTTAAATTTATTATTTTTATTAGTGTTTATTAAGTTTTAAGTGGAATTGAAGCTAAGTTTTGTTAATATTTATTAGTTTTAAGTGGAAGTTTAGTGGATTTTTAAATTCATAATTTTTCAAAATAATGTTTTATTTTTGTTGTTTTATGTTTGATTATTTAACCTCAACCTACTTATATTATTTGATTTATTAATATTTTACTTTATTATGTTGTATTACTATTCCCTCTTTCTCTCTCTCTTAAATGTCTTTTTTAAATGTAATAATAACATGCATTAAAATAAGAGACATTGGAAAACCCAAAGGTCTCTCTTTCTCTCTCTCACTCTCTCTCTCATTATAATAATGTACAAATTTATTGATCTAATCAAAATAGACAATGATTTACTTATATATATATATATAAAGTAGTTAACAATATCCTATTATTAAACTATGGAACTCTCAATCTCTCTCTATCTTTTATTTTTTTCTCTTCTAGTACAAATTACCATCTCTTTTATTATATATTTATTTTCACTCTCCAAGTTAGATTTAGGGTAGAGTTAATTACCTGGGCACTTTGTATTCAGGGTAGAGTTCTGCAACTTTAGCTGCAAAGTCACCATAGTGAGATATAGCCTCAACACATAGATGCCTTCCTGATGCTGATAGGTTCTCATATACCAAAATATGAGCTAGGGCAACATCTTTAACATGAACAGATCCCATAAAGTAGTCCTCATATATCTCAGTGCAGCCTATCACCAGAATGTTAGGCCAACTTTAGTAGTTCAGATTGGTCAGTCCGTCAGTGGAATAAATTTTTCTGAAGCTCAATTCATAATTAATGAAACCAAGAAATTGCTGAAACTAGTGACTAAAGAAGAACTAGATGGAATAATGGATTTGCAAATATACAGGTAGAAAAGACAAAAAAAAAGAAAAAGAAAAAACAAAGGTGGTAACAACAGTAATAATGTCTAGAAAGGACTAACAGGAAACTCATTTAAGCTCGTGATCATATTGAGAAGTTTGTTACTAGTTACTACCATTTTCTGTTTTCATACGAAATAGAAACAACTTGACATATTTGAAAGTTAGAATTGATTATCTTGAACTCATAAGCGATCTCAGTATCCTTCTCAGAGTTTAATCATTTTTGTACTCTAGAAATACAGTGTGGAGAAGTTACAAGCAGAACAATACCTTGAAGAAGGCGAAGAAGCATTAACATGCTTGCATTGATGGTTGGAGGAAAGATAGGGCCCATCACAGTGCCAGGATTGACGACGACCACGTCCAAGCCATTCTCTTTGGCAAATTCCCATGCAGCTTTCTCTGCCAATGTCTTAGAAGCTGGATACCAAATCTACACCATAAATATAAACGTTTATAATTTATGAACAAAGACATTTATATTATCCAAAAAACTACAACTGAAACAGAACACCAAGTAAATTCTGTTTTTCTTTATCAATATAAGCTTCTTCCTTTTACTGATAAAAAAAAAAAGAAAAAACAGAACGCCAAATAATTATCAGGAGAATGCATCAATCAGTTGAGATGGACTAACTGGGCTTGAATGGACTAACTGGGCATGAATGAATACTTGAAATGGCAAAACATTCAAAGGATGTTGACAAAATCAAGGAAAATTAATAAGAATAAGAAAAACTTGCTAGAAATAGGAGTGGACTAACTGGGCGTAAATGAATCACTTGAGATGGGTTTTTCTTCCTTTCCAGCCAGAGCCTCTCGGTGCTTATGGGATATATAGATGAATTATGAAGCCTCCGATCTCCCACAATGGTGCACTCCCAAGCCTAACTTAGGATGCATTATGATGCTTATGTATGCCATTTATGTATCATGTGTATGTGCATATTCCGTAGCATGTATACGCATTCAATTAAAAATTGTTTATAGCAGTTTTACTTCGTAATCTTATATTTAAGTAAGTTCTTTATTTATGTATAAAAAGTTAAATACATCATCTTCATCGTCATCTAAAACTTGTCCAAACTATATATGGGACCGGCTAAACATTTTTAGGCCCAGGCCCAGGTCCAAACTATAAGCAGATCCAGAATAGCCAATTAGCCAGACCATTTGGTCTGTCAATAATATCTTGACACAGCCAGAATTCAGAATCAGAAGGAAGAAGTGTAATTTGAGCCTCACAGAGTCACAGTAAATTAGGCCAAAGCTATTATAGAAGACAAATTAGCTGGATAAAAAAAAGGTAATCGACTAATAGAATATTTGGACCTCAACTAGAAACGGTGAGAAAAGTAATAGGAAAACTCACTCCCTTCTGCTTGCAATAGTCAACATCCGTCCAGCAGTCCTCCCCTTTGATGACATCGGCAGGCCAGTACCGACTTGGTATGATGGCCGAGATCGATGATGTTACCACCACCCGTCTCACCCCGCATTCCTTTGCCGCTTTCAGCACATTAATCGTCCCTTTGATTGCCGGATCCAAAAGCTCTCTCTATTATTATAATATTAAAAGAAAAATAAGAAATGAATACAAAATAATTACAGCAATTAATTAAATAAAATTAATTTTTATCTGTTCTGCCTCAGAGTCTCCGAGAACAGACCTCTGGGTCTTCGACTTTATCCACAATGCAGGGGGAAGCAAGGTGGAATACGCCGATGGTTCTATTTATGGCGGCCATAAGAGAATCGTAGTCAAGGAGATCGATCTGGAAGAGGCAGAGACGGGACTCTGCTCCTTCTAAGGCTTCCAGGTGCTTCGTTTCTTTCTCATCCTCTGTAATAAAGACATCCAAATTTTCCAAATGAAAAAAAAGGGAAAAGCTATCCAAATGTCCATTGGATTGCAGATAAACACAAAATCCATATTATCCTTGTATGAAAGTTTGGGATGATTCATAGTTTTGATGATCCTATGATGGTGTATCAGTAAAGATATAAGAATATATTTGGATGACCTAATATAATCGACGTGCCATTATCTTCTGAAATCGATAGCGGTCATTTAATAGAACCAAATTGGTCGGGCGCGACTGCCAACTAAACAAAGGTAGGGCAGTTCAGTTGGTGAGGAAGAAACCGTGGTCAGCCCGATTTGATTTCTGACTGTAATTACAACGATGGCCGTCCAAAACCAAATGATTGAAGGAGAAGAAACGGCGGCCATGGATTCCATGGAGTAACGGCGTAAAAAGAAATGAAATCTCTAATAATTACTGGCGAAGGGAAGGCGTATTGCACGAGACTAATTCTAAAAGGAGGAAATTAATTAATTAAATACTGTGAAAGAAAAAAGAGAAGGAGGTTAACTGAGATCTTTGACGGTAGCGTGGACGGTGTAACCACGTTGCAAGAGGAGATGAACGAGCCACGAGCCGATGAAACCGCTTCCCCCCGTAACGCACACCGCCCCTTCTTCCTTCGAGCTCTCTGCCATTGCTTTTCCTTCTGTATGCTCGTCGATTCTCTCGCTCGCGATCTCTCTCTTTACTAAGACGCTACCTTACTACTTCCGCACTCGCACTAAGTTGGGTCGGATTGATGATCGGATTAGAGTTAAAATTGATTCCTCAGACATTTCGATTCAATCCAAATCTGACTCTATAGTGCATATATATATTTATATAATATATATGATATTGATTTATTTATGTATATAATTGTATAACCCTTACTACATATTATCATTTATTTTTTAAGATAATTATTTCACTTAATCTTAATTAGAAATATYAAAATCTTAATAATATTTTTTTTATATTTTATTATTTATCTCCTCTTGTTGTTTGTCACCCATAGCTTAAGCTATAACTTATAATAAACTATAATCATTTCAAACACTTTTTTTTTTTTGAATTTTGTACTTAAAAGAACCAATAAAAATATCAATAAACAAATACTAATAAAACATATGATTAATATATGTAGTGAAAGTTAAGTTAAGATCTGAGATTAAGGGATGAGAAGAAGGTTGTGTTGGGTTGGGCTAGGTTAGGGTTGAAGGAATTTAATTAGGGTCGGGGGTTTAGAACTTAAGGTTGGGCTAGGGTTGGCCTCAAACCCGACCTAACCCGACTTGACTTGCAACCCTACTTGCACTCTGCAGCAATGGAAGTCGTGTCATGATTTCTTGCCCACATTCTACCTGTCGTGAATTGTAGCCACGCCATCTTGTATTGTGAGATGTGGGACTGTAGTGTTGTACTGTGGGAAGGAGATTGGATCTTCTCCGAACTAAATACGCTCCAGTACACATCCAACAAAATCTGACGCCGCATATTACATGATGATCCCAAGCTCATGGTGAGATGTGCATTATCAAATATGTTGGAAGCGTGTAGAACATCTTTTTTGGGAATAGAAATCAACTCATCGTGAAATGTGGTTGGGCTCATCTATCTTTTCCTTTAGTTTTGCCCAAGACGGCTGAGTCCACATCTCCTGCCCATGTCTACTCATATAACATTGCAGCCACACATGGAGAACATCTCATCCTCCTATATAGTATTATACAGGGGGAGATGTTCCCAATTCACGGAGATAGTCTATTGTGGTTAGGAGATCAGGAATCAAGATGATTGCCCCCCCTTACTTTCGAATTTGGCTTCAGCCAGTGCAAGGCCGGCTCGAACAGCTTTTAGAGCCTTGCATTGGAAATATCTCCCTATGAAATAAGATGCATTAGTGCGGAGATATTCCCAGTACAAGGCTGAAAAGACATGCTCACATCTGAGAATTTGGTTCAGTCCTTACAAGACATGCTCACATCTTACTCACAGTAACTTGCAACTGTGTGTTGGGAATATCTCCAATAGATAAATAATTTAAAGAGATATTTTCAATAAACATTGCAACTTGCAAGTGGCTGTAATTACCCTGTGAGCACTGTCATGTGAGATTGGCTTCTGTCAGGGCAAGCCTGTGGCCACACCATTCGGACCATCCATTTTTAACCTTGTATTGGGAATATCTCTCCATGAAATAAAGCATATAAGCAGGGAAATCTTCTCAATGCAAAGCTATGAAAGTTGCTCAAATGGGCTTTGCCCTGACCGAAGCCGAATTCCTGTCATGTGAAGACTGAATCCCATCTCTTACTCTGATGAGATTCTGTCTTTTATATTTTTTCTCAATAATTACATTTAAATAATTCATCATCATTATCACCCATGCTGTAACCTAAGATGAAGATTTTTTTGAAGTTATATATGTAATTGCTAAGAATCCAAATTCAGTCTACACAAATTTTTTGTTGGTACTGTCCTTACAACACTTGCAGCCTTGTATTAGGAAAATTCATGTTAAAAAAATTGCAAGAATGGAAATGTTCCAAATGTATGACTATAAATATCGCCAGGATGGTGTGAGGACTAAATCTAGTCTCAATTGATAGAGTCAGTCTAAGGTTTTTTAAAATGGACCAGATAAGAAACCGTTCTGGGCTCTGGTTCCCAAATTAAACAGTCCGACCCGACCGTTCAGTCCAAATGAATGGCCCATTTTGACAAATAAATCAAAATTTAGAAAACAAAAAATGGCAAAAAACCATTATCTGATTCTACGATTCAACTGTCCAAATCAACGATTCATTGACCAAATTAACAGTTTTTTTGTTAAAAAATAATTTTGAGGTGAAACGGAACCAGCCAGGTGACCAATCCCTATTTTTCCAGTCTGAGCATTCGGTTAGGTCCAATTTTAAAAATACTGAAATAACCTGTTGTGTTGAGAAAGGTTTTAAACTAACATTGGCCGAATCATTATTATCCCAAAAACCGTGGAATTGGGCAATGGCTCACTGACTAAAAATAGTCAACTTGTTGACTGTTTGATGGCTTGTCCAATGTATAGGTAAATAGCTTCTCGTGCATGGCTTGCGGTTTCCCTTTGCATGTTGGCATATCACAATTCATATGGTCGAAACTTTGCTGCTCTGGGTGGTAGATATGGAGATCAATGTTTTTAAAACCGGACTGGATCAGATAGTTGGATCGGAAAATTGGGAATTAGACATCAGATCCGTTCTGTTTTATCTCAGAATTATCTTTTGGTCAAAAACTGTTGATTTGATAAGCAAATCATCGATCCAGACAGTCAAACTGTTCGAACTGTCCAATAATTTTTGATCATTTCTTAATTTTTTTTTTTATTTTTTTGTTAGAATACACCATTCATTTAGTTCAAACGATCGAATCATTTGACCCAAGAACTGGACCTGAACGGTTGTTGTTCAATTCATTTTTAAAAACCTTGATGGAGATGGTGGGTGATGGTGGTAGAGATAAAAAAAAAAAAACCAAAGCAGTGGCCGATTCATCTTGTTGGGTCTTTTAAGCAAGAAAAGAAAAAGGATGATCATCTATGGATACAGCCAGGTGAAAAGGGTAAATGATGTTTGGATTGGCTTAAATTCCAACCATCACTGGGATTATCTGTATGTTAAATGATGTTTCTTGCAAGGAAAATATATAGAACGCTAATTTATGAAATAGCTATAAAACTCAAATATCAAATCATCATCAGGATTCTTGTGAAGCCAAGGCAAAATAAGAACATTAATCATGTATAGCTGAAAGGTTCTCGAATCTCGATGAGTGGTATCTGACTGTAACGTCTACCATCCATGTGCCAGACAACGATTAATAGTGCCCGAAACGGGCTTCAGGTCTCCACTCCACCGCCCCTAAAATGCTGCAAAAAGAAAACATTTTCTAACCGACCTTTAGAGTACGTGTAACGAAACTGAAGGGAAGGAGAACCATTAAATTATGTTTTTATATATTTGCTAATTGCTAATTAAGCTGTGTATAAATGATAAGAGGCAGAACTAAACAGTTAACACACAGTAGAAAGAGATGGAACCAGAAGAAGAGAAAGGTACGAGTACTAGCGAAGCTAAAGGAGAACTCGGAGAAGAAGTAGAAAAAGAAGAACAAAGGAAAGGCGACGATGGGAGGTTCATAAACCAACTCCTCTCCAACTTACCTAAGACAAGAGAGATTGATCACGACAAGGTATGTTTTGGTGAAGTAAAGGATGAAGGGAAGGAAGAAAAAGATGGAACAAAGCACGATGTGAAGGTAGAGTCGGGTGGTGGACTAGTCAACAATCTCATCTCCACCTTTCTCCATAAAAGTGAAACTGGAACAGAAGAGAACGAGAATAAGAAGGAAGTGGGTAAATTAGAAGAAGCAGAGAGCACTGGGCTCATCAACAATTTCATCTCCAACTTGCCCTCGCTTCCAGGTACTTCTGCTGTTATTACTCGACCTTTATTCTTCCAGCTACTTTTCTGTTGTTGCTGCTGCTGCTGCTGTTATTACTTAACCTTCTCCATTGTTTCTGCATTTTCTAATCTCTGTGCAGATGRGTGGTAAATGGGTTGATGATGGCTAATTTAAATGATTGAGTGCCAGTGGCAACTCAAGTTACTCAACCCACAGCCACCCAATTGACACCCAACCCGAAGCCTTGGCTTCTGGGGTTAGAGACTAGGGAGTGGATTGGTAGGGGAAAAAACTTAAAAAGCTAATGGGTCAGTTTTCTATTAAGCTGCATGGTTCAGGGAAATTTAATCCCGCTTACCATGAATTATATGGAGTTGGAGTTATTATCCTGCTATTAATCATGACTCCGAATCTGCAAGCATGGATTAACACTGCCTTTTTTTCGCCCGCCCAGATGATCATGTGCCAGCGACTGATGAGGCATCCATTCTCATTCACTCTATCATCCATGACTAAGGAGTAAGTAAAATCTCTGCAGATCACAATGCAACGCAAAAGCATGGAGGTCGAAACCTGATGATCTCTGTTTTACTTCTTTTCTGTTCAAACTTCGAACTTCAAAAGAATTCTTTTCCTGAACGGATTTAGACTAGACGTAAGATTCTTGATTGAAGATTCAGGCATCTCCCTCTCGTTCTCTTTTGTTTGGAGAAATAACTTGACTATCGATATTGACATGGAAAAAGTTCTGTATTAATAGAATAGACAATTATGAGAGGACTTGGACCCAGCATTTAATTAACTCCAGCAATATAACAAAACCAGGCGCGGCAACCGGCAACAAAAGCGCTCAAAGATCGAGTGGAATAAGTAATCAGACTTGCTAAAAGAGTTAATCCTATTAAAAGTTTTCACTAGATCATAGACTCCATGTTTACCAATTGTTTCAACTCTGAGCATCTTATTTCCATCATGCTAAGCGCCTTAGTGACAGGTGGCAACAATCCCTTAACTTATTAGAAAGTACAATTTTACTAAAGTCCCCGTACCTTACATGTTACCACCTGTCACTAAGGCGGTGTTTGGTGCCGTTTTCTGAGAGACGTTTCTTATAAAAGGATGTTGTATAAGCATGCTGTTTCCTCATAATATATTTATTCAGATTTTCTATTTGGTGCTATTGTTGTCCCCATGACAGATATTTTTAATACTATGTCAACGTAATAGTAGTATAACAATAGAAAAAAAAAACGGGAAAATACTAAAAAATGCATTTTTTTCAAATTAGGGGTGAAAATGGATGAGATCATAATCTGATCCTGTTTGATCAAATTCGGATCTTTAGATCGGATTGGATTCAGATCACCCCTATCCGATCCCATGTATATTATGTATATTTATTTATATAAATATATTATTTATATTGTACTTTTGTAAAATTGTTATATTATTTGTTTTTCTAAAAACATGTATATAAATAATTAAAAAATATTTGTATTTTTTAGTTTTCTTCATTTAAATTAGTATATTTTAATTTTCTTTTAATAATTTTTTTTAATTTAAAAAAAGAACAAATTGGATCCAATCGAATCATACCCAAATATCCGACTTCCTGATCGGGTTCGAATTCCTTTTGATGGATCCTTGTCTATCAGCAGATCTACAATTAACAGTGTTTGATTAGATTCGGATATACCTTGATTCAAATCTAATCTGATATATTTATACTCTTATTTTAAACCACACCTTTCCTGATTTCTATGACATAGTTTGAGAAAATATTTTTTGGAAAACAACTAACCAAACAGCAGACTTTTTCTAAAAAAACGGATTTCTGATGTAACGCCATTTTTTAAGAAACCGGCGTTGATGCCAAACGCGTTTTGTTTGCTACAGATGAGTAATTTCTCAGAAATCCACCGACTATCAAAATAGTGAAAAGGCACATTTTGCTTCCATCTAAAAAATAGCAATACTCTTAGTAATAACTGACCACAGGTAACGTGTTTAATATGTTATTTTTTGGTAAGCTTCAGGATCTCGGCTTGAGATTATGTTTTTAAAAGAAACACTTACTAAATACTAGAAACCCTTTTCGGCTTATTTTTTATTTCCACAGCCCAAAACTCAAAAGCAAAAGCTTACCCAAAAGGAGCCTAACTTATCATAAGCCTACCATACAAACCAAAAACCACTAAACATATATGATTTTGGCCACTGAAATTCCTTCAACATGAACCAGTGGAGAAATCAAAAGGATAATTTCAACCTCGACAAATCTTATAAATGCCAATCAAACAATAAGAGTTAATGGGTGCAAAATTCCATGCCCAAAACTAAATTTAAAGAGTAAGTTCGAACAATCAAAAAGAGTCTCACTAAGTAGTTCAAATGGTAATTCCATACCAGTTTCAGCCTGTCTCCATGGACATAGAGTAAACAAAACAAATTCTTGACATGTTCTCAATGAATTTTATTAAATTGTTACATGTGGAGTTTCTATAACATTATATCACTTTGCTTGCTTTAGAAACACTCAACAGACCAAAAAAACCACATCAGAAGGGCTGTAATAAGTTGCTTGTGATATTCCCTCTAAAAAGCAGGGAAACAAATGAATCATGATTACGTTGAATATAATTAATATCCTCTCAGATTTGGAAAACTGAGTAAATCTGCACCTTCTCCGATCAGCTCAACTATATAAGCTGAGAAGAATCAGTATACAAAGTTGCAACAAGATACGTACTGAATCAGTTATGTCTGTCAAGAAATTTCTCAATTAGAACTGAAAACGTAGCAAAACCTGCACAACCAACACATGCTGCCTTTGGTCCACCTAGAAGCACAGATATTAAAGGTGTCAGTGTACAATCGACAGGAAGGAAGATGGAGCAGCCAAAGTGAATGACCAAACTTTTTCTTTGCAACCAGCACTTTGGGGAATAGAGGGGTCAAGGGGAAGTTATAAATGGTGCAAGGCACCAAATACCCCCCCCAGAAAAAAGTGAATGGCCAAACAACATGGATGAAAGCCTAAAAGCCATATTCTACTGTGTGATCTGGCTTCCCAAAGAAGGCACTATATACAGGTTATAGGGAGAAGATGCAAAACTGCATGTTTCCCAATAAAATATAACTAATTAAACCATACAAACAAACAATGAAAAATGGTATCCTTGGTACATACATACAGCTTTAGGCAGAACAAGAGATACCAACCCCATAGAAGCATATCTAAAGGGATAAAAAATCTAAAAAAGTTACAGATGCGAGTGAACTTATGGCAGGATCTTACACCCTTGAAGGTTAGCAACCCACCACATCAAAAACTGATAAAGCTGATGCATTCTCATTTATTTGAAATAGAAACTCATCCAATAACCTTAAAGATGATGCTCTGAAATCAGGTAAATATCTCTATAATGTTAAAAGCGTGTGTGTGTGTGTATGAAATGCATAATATGCAGTCAATTGTCCTTTCTTTTTAGTTAATCCACCTACAAACCTACTGTCATAGTGAGGACCAACTAAAATGGCACAATCATTTCTTTAACTGGATTACTTTCAAAATACCATGTAATCACACAATGTYCCAGGCAATTTTATCTCTGTTTTTTTTTTGATGATCATAAAAATGTCCAATTTGGTAAAAACTTGTAAAAATTCTAAGAGTTCAAAAAATAATTAAATCATCTTATAGATTATTATAGAGCTAAAATGACCCTCACAAGTTGTGTAAAAATAACTGTAAGAATAAACTGGTTAGAAGCTATGGTGCTGCATGTTTGCTGTACTATGATAATATGTACAAGATCCTGCACATTTTGCATTGATTAAACAAATGGTTGGAACTCACAAAGTGACATTGCTGCTCAACAGCTGATGTAATCCCGTGACATGCTTAATCTAGCCCAAAAATATTTGGAAGCTAAAGGGTTGCCTCCTCGGAATTGCATCTCTCTTTCTATGAGGACTACATCTCCAATTTTTTTCTTACATTATCAAGTCCCTTAATTTTGTGCAAAAAAGAAATACTAAATGTTAGGTTTATCAAGTCCACGCCTCCCAAGACCCCAGATAGTTGGGACCAACCTTGGGTAATGGCCTTTTTTTTAAATGTTATAGTGGGTCAATGAGTTATGTTAACTGACATAATGATGTCAAGACCTTATTATAGCAACGATACTGTCAGCCACTTTATTTTTGTTACCAACTATTAACAGGCATTTTCCCCTAAAACTAAATCACAAGCTTCAATTCAACAGGAAAACAGGAATCCTATATGTTCATCAAATCCATGACTCCATTCTCTTCTGGGCTTTCAGAAGTTGGCATGTTCCAAAATATCTTTCTTTGATGAGCATAATCATCATTAGATAAGGGACTTACCCAATGCTGGTCCTGACTATCTGGGGTCTTGGGACATATCTGAACAAAATTTTTACACTTATCTGCACCGTTGTTTCAACACTAGACCTAAAACAATCAACACTCTAATCATTTTCTGCTAATATAGAGGAAGAACAAAACTATAATCTACTTGAAAGACAAAGGGGGTTTAGGGATTGGAAATATTAGAATAAGAAATGCAGCTTTGTTAGGCAAATGGTTATGGAGGTTTCCTAAGGAGCAAGAGAGTCTATGGCATAAGGTGATAAGAAGTATTTATGTAATGGCAGCAAATGGATGGGACGCTGGACTCGACCAAGGGCTTCGCGTTTTTCCCCGTGGAAAGATATTGTTGGTATCTTGCCTTTCTTCTATCCTTTCATCAGGTATGATGCTTGTGTGGGTAATAAAATTCTTTTTTGGGAGGACTTGTGGATTAGGGAATCTCCTCTTAAGGATAGATTCCCTAACCTTTATTCCATTTCTTTGAAAAAATCTCAAYTTATCTCTTCTTTTCGTACTTCTGGGGATTCTTGGGATTTGGGACTAAGGAGAGGTTTAAGGGACTCAGAAGTGGAGTCAGCAATTAATATTTTTTCTCTTCTAAGTTCAGTTTTTCTAGACCACTCCTCTCCGGACAGTAGAGTTTGGGCAAAAACTTCTACAAGTAGTTYTTTTTGTTCTTCGTTTTTCAATGCTTTGGTCCTTCCTTCTAACCCGATTTCCTCTTTTCCTGTTAAAGAAGTTTGGAGCGCTCTGGTCCCCCCAAAAGTAAGGACTTTTTGTTGGGAAGTGATTCTCCAAAAAATCAATACCTTGGAGGTGCTTCAAAGAAAKARAYCAAWTTRGTGCTTGTCACCTCATGTCTGTAGCCTTTGTTTGAGGAATGGTGAGACGGTGAATCACCTATTAATTTCTTGTCCTTTTAGTGCTCTAATTTAGGATTGGTTCTCCTCTCTCTTTGATTGTAGGTGGAATCCTCCCACAAGTGTTAGCGGATTTATTTGACCCTAGCTTTTTCCAACAACCAAAGAAGAAAGGAAGGGTGATGTGGAGAACAACGAGGGCAGCTATCTTGTGGGCAGTATGGGAAGAGAGAAACAATAGGATTTTCCAAGGGAAAGAAAAATCAGCTCCTGAAGTTATTGAAGGGATCACCATCAAGGCAGTACATTGGCTGAAAACTTTTGACTTGTTCAAGGATGTCTCTACAGATGATTTGATTAGAGGCCGGAATATTTTAGCAAGATCTTCTACTTCATCACCTACCATACAAAGCAGTTTGGTCCCCTCCTTTGCAGTGTCATGTCAAATTGAACTTTGATGGCAGCTCTATTGGGAACCCCGGACCTTCTGGAATAGGGGGTGTGTTTAGAGATGCGGAAGGAAAAACCCTAGCTCTGTATTCTGGCCCAATAGGTGTGGGGGACTCGCTTAGAGCTGAAGTTTTGGCGCTCCTCCAGGAGCTCAGATGGGCCAAGCAATTGGGTTTCCAACAGTTGGAAGTGGAGGGGGATTCAAAATTTGTAGTAGGATGGCTGCAATCAAACAGTTTGGGAACGTGGTCCCTTAGACAACAGGTAAGGGAATTATTGAGCCTCACAAGGGAGCTGGATGCAAAAGTGTATTGGTCTAGGAGGTCAGCAAATGCTTTAGCTGACTACCTAGCAAAACAGGGGGTGAATCGGGAGTTTTTGTTTTGTGCAGTGTTGTAAGATTTTTGTTATTCAGGGGTCACCTTTTACTTTGGAAGGTGACAGTTGTTTCTTATGGTTTAATCTAATGGAAGTTACCATTTCCTATCAAAAAAAAAAAAAAAAAAGAACAGAAAGAAGGTTCTATTTATTTCTAGGCCCATCCCCACAGAACCCATTTCTAAATTTCAAAAAGCTTTCTGTAGGATGGACCAAACAATGATTCTTAGAAGTCCCATATCATCCGTATTACAAGTCCACCTCTACTCTGCCAATAGGGATCTCAAAAACAAATCTCCAACTTATGTTTAACAGCATAAATAACATCTGTTGAAAGAAATGGATCACCAGAAGACATGGAGTCAATGATCAAATGATGAACAGCTGAGTTGTGACCAGCTGTATCGTCTTGGCAACCAATAATCAAACAACCTAATTGATCCAGATGAAAATCCTCAATCGCTTGTGACTTCTTTGGACAAATTGGTTCATTTTCCAACAAATATGAATCCAAATAGGTTTACTTTCCAGCCAACATGGATTGTTTCTAAATACCCTGCCCAGAATCTTGCTCACTAACATCAACCTGATCATTGATCACTGATTCACTTTCACACACCATCATAACATTGAACAATGTCATTGCTGATTCTAGATGACTTACTTTGGCAAATCACTTTTCTGCTCTTAATACTCCCCCCCCCCACACACACACACTTCATCAAAGGAAATCGATGAAAAGGAAAGCCATATATGCTGAGCTTGAAAAACTTGTTCTCTTTTCCCTTGAACATCTAATTGATTCGTCTAAGGATCTTGAGCATCATTTCTTACTACAACAATAAAAACTTCTTTTTCTAGTCTTCTCAATCATACCAAGCAAATGATTAAGAACTCCACACTCTCCCATTAGAATCATCATTGACAACTTTGACCAACTCCCATACCCCATTTCTTTCCTTGAAGTGATAACACCCCTTAAAATTTCTCATGGATAATATCTAGTAACAATGCAAAAATCCCTCATCTTCCATCCCCTTATCATTATTGCCAGAGACCAAAGGCACACATGATTGGAATCTTTAGAATTCTTACTCCTCCCACCTGCACTAATGAGAAAGTCTTTATTTGACTTGTCCCAGCCTCCCAGGCCCCTCCTCTCTTCCTCTATTAACCACACAATTCAGATAGAAATAACTCTTATTCCACTCAAGTACCCAGAACAATTATGGCTCCTTTACCAAAAACCCACTTTCTCCCTTCCCCCTTTAATGTATTCCCTGTTCCCCTAAAAAAACCCGTCTTTTTATTTTTGAGATTTAAAGAACCTTGAACACCATCTCACCTTCTTTGTCCCTTTCCAGATGTCCCATGCCCCTGCGTCATTTCCTTTTTTGCTCCTATCTACTGCCAAATCATGATTATTAACATCCATCTCTATCACAATCTCCTTCCTTAAGGAACTGACTAGTACACCTTTCAACCTCTAGGTGCCCTCAATGCTAACCTTTTTCTCTCCACCTGCATATAGACACCCCCTTTCCTCCGATTCTTCAGCAATGTTAAGGCCTCCTCCTTCAATAAAAATTCTGATTTTATGTCTTAGTAGTGAAGACCAAATCAAAGAAGGGAACCACACAACATTCCTCTACTTCAATGAGAATTCTTACCGCACACAATCAGTCATGGGCCATATTTTCTGAACTGATCTTTCTGACTGTATCACATACATTACCAATCACAGTGAATCTTTGAAAGCACTGACATAGTTGTCAAGGCCCAGGCAACAAGGCACCCATGGAGGGCTGCCTTCAATTCCTATTCCAGAATTCTCTTGACCTCATCTTTACAGCACAACATAAAAAAGAAAAGATTTCCTCCTAGTTTTCTAACCTCCACCGCTCCAACAGTATTCCATTCCTTATCACCCATTCAGCAACATATTAATCATCCAACAAGACATGCCTACCTTTCAACAGCCTTATACACTCTTTTGCCTCTCCAAAACCAAACACTTTAACTTCAATCCAACAAATAGATTATAAATGCACTCCTCAAGCTAGAGTCAATAAGTGTCTATTAAATCAACTGGATGGATTATCAGGTTACAACAGAATCGATAGAAGCACATTTAATCAAGTTAATTGATCAAAAGAGTTACAAGTTGCTGCACTCATTTTGTACTGAGATCTTATTTTGAGTCCTCTTTGCATTGCATGAAGAATGCAGAGAAAAATAAAACCACAATGTACTACCTGTCTTGTTTTCTAGAAATGAATCCTGAACTTCATTCAAGTTTTCCTTATATGACAAGTATATGAGTTATAAATTAGGAGAAAAAGAAAATAAGTTGAAGATCCTGACTACAAACTAAAGCACAAGAAATCTATTACAGTTTTACAAAATGCACACAAGATGCTATATTTTGCCATGAAGCCGTGGTGCTCCAACTTTTTGGCATATTATTCTTTGGTCTTTGTGATGCTTTAAGGTTCTTTGCCAACCAAATACCATATACAATAGTTGATTTTACAACACTATAACTTCAAGACATAATATATCCTACAAATTTGCCAGTTGCCATACAACAGTTAACTCTCAACTGCCTATGTTATCTATAAAATATAAATGTCTTATATCAATTTTCTGGAAATGAAGAAGATAAAGTTACCCTTTGCTGATAATGACCCTCCAGTTACACACCCAGCAACAACGGTATTTGTCATGTCATGTTTCGCTCGTGCCTAAACACAAAATCATCAATTAATTCAAATGCAATCTTATAAACCATTAGCACCTCGATCATTTATTTATTTCACCTTCTCAACAACACATTCTGCAGCCGAGAAGATTAGTCCCATCAATGCAAAGGTCTTGGCTGAACTAATGCTCCTTTTCCCCATCTGCTTTGCCGTATAGATGAATTGTTGCTTTGCGGTCATTTCCTCTTGCACCAAGGGATTCGTTAGAGGATTATCCAGCGCCCCAAAAAACAGGCCCATGAAAAACCCTAACCCACCTCCTACAAATTTCCATACAAGAAGAAACCAATACAACTTAGAACCTGAAACTTCAAAACTCCCAATCCACGATCCATAGCTCCAAATGCAAATAGAAATCCAAGGACGATAAATAGAATTCACAAAGACCAAAGAACATAAATTAAAATGAAAATGAAAATGAAAACAAAAGGCAGCTTAATATCAACAAGGGGAGAGAAACGAACACCGGTTGACAAACCAAAGCTTCAAAGTTCCAATTGAGAATCTTGCAGGAATTCTATGAAACGCTTAGCATTCAAACGATATACGGAAAAGAATAATTTAATCAAAAAGTATATTTTATTACCCATTACTCCACTAACTACACTGCGGACAGCACAGTTGTTCCAAATGTCTTGGCCACGGATCTCCTCAACCGTGGGCAGCCGCAACGGCTCTATCTGAGGCTTCTCTGCTTCTTTTGATCTCGACGAAGACGTTGGAGTTTCGGTGGATTCGGTTCCCGAAGTGGATGCCATGGTAGTTCGAGGACTGAAGGGAGCACGGAGTACAAACGAACAATGAATAAACCCTAGCCTTACCGCCGCAGGAAAATTGTGGTTTTACCGTCTAAGTAAATAACGTGAGACGTGGATGCAAAGGCCAAAGCAACTAAAGAAAGTAACAACCATTAAAAAATCTAAAAAAATTGCAGAATCTTCTTTTCTGATTATTTTCCCCTCTAGCCGTCCTCCTTCTCTGCTCGATCCCACCAAAAAGCTATTCTTCCCTCCTCTTCCTTGCTCCGCGTTTAAAAACCAGTAAGAAAATAAAACTGACATGAATAATGATGACTCAATTCAGATCTATATTCAACGTTTCTTGCTGAATAGCTGAAATCTGCAACTTCTCAAATCTTGTCATCAGCTCGTTACTATGTTCATGAAATTACTTTTGGCTTTCCTTTTCTATGCAGATGTTGTCATGAATCCCTGCTGTCCACAAAGAAGAGGGGAAAAATTACATAACGTAACTATGAACCGGTCTATGACTGGATGTAGAAAAACCAAGTGCAATGCCACCGTTCATTTCAATGGGTGGAATTTCTATGTTCGATTTGATTAAAAACAAGACCACTTACTTTCTGTCCAACCAGACAGCCTACAGAATGACGGGCAAAGAGATGTGCAACTCTGTTACAAGAGCGAGGAACAAAATTTATAATTGACAGAGACAAATTCATTTGTTTGATTACTACATTCCGAAATGTTTGTAGATTAGATTGAGAAATCTCTCGATAGACAGCAGATTTGCTTATTCAAGAGTTGTTCATTGCTAATCAAAAACCGAAAAATCGAGCCGAACTGAAAAATCCGGTTAATTGATTGATTCAGTTCGACTTAAGTTTGGAAAATTGCAAAAAAGTGAAGGACCGGTTTGATTTCGGTTAACTTACACGAAAAACCGGCAATTAATCAAACCGACTGGTTTCAGTTTGAAATATTGTAAACTTAAAAACCAACTGTTTGACCAGAGGCCCCAGTAAATCTGCTTTTTGTCATTATACTTGGTAGGAGAGATCGCATTGCGCGGATACAAAATATTTTTTTTCACAAATTCATATCAACAATTTCATTCACCATTTCGCTTACAGAAATTTACTCGATGGATTTTGATCAAAATCCAAAAACACAAACACTAATAGATATCCAGCATTTGAGTCCTTGACCGTAACTTTATTATGGAATACCAGGGTAATTCACAAGAGCTTAACTTTTCGAAGCTAGGCCAAGCATGGGCTTAATACCATCATCGGCTAAAAACGAACCATAGCCACCGGTGCAGTGACAACGTAACAAAAATCATAAGAAGGCTCAGTTAGGAAAGAGTATAAATACAAATATGTACAGGTACAAATACATACACAGCATGCATAGTTTCCCACCRCATATATTTGTATTTGCACTCCAAACAGAACATCCTAACAAAGCCACAAGACATTTGTGCATAATACAATACAAGCACATTGTATCCTAACAAAGTAACAAGACATTTGTATTTGCACTCAAACAGAGCATCCTAATAAATGTGCTATGGCATATCTCTGGATCAGCCCACCAACAACACTAACTTAACCCGTCTTACTTAACAACGGGACAGATTTGGATTAAGGTTTTAAAAATTAATTCAAAAACGGAATCATTCCGGCCACCGATTTCTTGATCAGCAGTTTGATCATTCAGGTCAAACGATAACAGTTTGAGCATCAAAATATTAGGGTAACTATATAAGAGAGAATAAAGTTGAAACTTTGAAAGAAAACTGTTGGCTGAACTGAAAGAGTTTAGGAGGAGGACTTGCAGGCAGTGGTGACGAAGAAGGACTTGCAGGCTTGCAGCAGTGACGACAGCGACAGTGATGGTGAACTACAGCGGCAACAGCAGTGGCGTTCTCAATCCCAGATCTCGCTTTCTCTCTCTCACCTTCTCGTGCGAGAAAAACAGATACAAGATTTCTCAGTCTCAAATCTGAGAGGAAGAGCAAACCGTTCAACCAGTTTACCAGTCAAACCATCTGGATCAACAGTTTGTTAACTAATTCAATAATTTTTGACCAAATGCCGGGTTTGAGCTAAAACGGAACCGGTCACCTGAACGATTTCCAGTATGAACGGTCCGACTGTCCAGGTCAACGACGGTTCGAAAACATTGATTTTGATTGTTGAATGCTGCTGGGATCTATAATTGCTACACCCAATTGGACCAGAGTTTGTCATCAGACATCCTTTTGCTTCCATGGCCAAAAATGACGAAAAATATAAAAGAGCAAATATAACAATTGGTCGGCACCATTAGACTAGCCATGTTTCCAGCTCCAACCAATCAGCTGTTCCTTGTGTATGAAGCTAAAAAGTTGCAGACGTTTATTTATTTAGTCATGGAAGTGGAACGGAGCATGCATCAAACTTTTTTTTCTGAGACATTTGATCATTAATCTTTTTCTAACAGAAATATGCAAAACAATACTAGTTTTCTTTTCCATCTACAGAAACAAGAAACAAAGGATTACAGCCCACCAAAACCATGAAGTACGTACACAATCCTAATTGTAACAAAGAAACACCATCAATCATGCAGCCGCACCATCTTGAAGGAGCATCTGATCGAAGTGCCAAGTTCCTGCAAACCCAGAAAAACAAGCACTCTCAGCAGATATTAAGAAGACAAAATTACAAGAGAAAAGGAAGGGTAGATATGCATCAGAAAGAAAAGACTATCAACACCAATGGAAGTGCCAAGTATTTTCTGAAATGGAAGCCTACCATGCCCTTTGCCCACCCTTCTCAGTTGAGCTACATATTCAGAGATTTTCTTAATAGCATCCACCTAAACAGAGAAAAATAATCAACAACTCAGAACTAACCGAACTAGTCAAATCAAACCATAGAAAAATGGCAATTCTTCAAGGAAAAAAAAAAACAAGACAATTCTTGGAGATTCACCTGTTCGGCCAAAAACTCGCTCTCGATGAAATCAGCCAGCTGTGCATCATTGTTTTTAGCTGCCACCTGTTTTTAATCAAGAAATTAGGATTTCTCAGAGGGAGACGTTTGTGTCTTTTACACTATGATATTGAAAAGTATTCTGGTTAATCAATAATTGCTTTGCAAGAACCATGTGAATTCATACTTCATTTCATTTTTGGAATGGGGAAAAAACAAAAGTTAAGGTTATGTTTGGTTCGAAGGAAAAAGTAGGAAAAGGAAGGGAAACCTTTACAAATCTTGTATAGGTTTCCCTGCATTTTCCCTTCCTTTCCCTACTCTTTCCTTCAAACCAAACATAGCGTAAAATCCTAAAGTATCAAGGAAACTATACTGTATGTCTACAATTTTATAGGGCTCAAGTTGTTTTACGCTGTGCAATTTCAGAAGCTTCTCATTTGTCAGTTTCTCCAAAGCCAATGCAAGCTCCATTGCTGAATCAAGAAAGGACAGATGGTTAATGCCAATAAAAGGGATAAACTAGTGTCACTTGTAAATCAGGGAGAGGTAACATAGTTCTGTATGTGACGAGGAGAAAAGAACCGGAATTATTAGGAACAAGGAAAAGGGTGAAAACAAAATAAATAAGGGGCATGAACATCCAAAAAAGCTCTAGATGATTGTAGATATTAACTTGATAAATTTTGTGAAATTATAAAAAAGCTCTAGATGATTGTAGATATTAACTTGATCAATTTTGTGAAATTATGCACATGTTTACGATAAGCAGATAACCATGGATAATAAATCCAACCAAAAAGCACGAAAATAGCTATTCTACAAAGCAAATTAGGCAAAATACAAATCTAATTATCTAATATTCCATTCTTGGGCCAAATTAACTCTGCAAGGATTGTAAGGACAGAACACAACCCAGTAAAGCTTACCATGCAATGCATCTCCCTTTTCAGGGTGATCAAATTCAGACAAAGGCATCAGTATAGATTGCAGCTTCACTTTCCCTCCTCGTTTGTTCTGGCAATTATCAGAACAACAACATCAAAGATCGATTCCAAATGTAAACAGAAGTGATTCAAGTAAACGAAGAGTGAGAGTGACAATTGGGTCGGGCAATTATCAGAACAACAACATCAAAGACTCGATTCCCAATGTAAACAGAACTGATTTAAGTAAACGAAGAGTGAGAGTGACAACTGGGCAAACACCTGGTACTCCATCAATTTCTCAGCGTGCTCCCTTTCTTCTGCACTTGCCTCCTTGAAAAATCTGACGGTCAGAAAACAACTCGTAAATCAATTTAACCCAATACGAAATCAAGAACACCAAATGTAAAAAAGTACATTGGGTATTAAGTAGTTACTTGGCAAGCCCTTTCAGAGCAACATTATCCCTATCGAAGTAGGCGAACATGGCATGATACACGTATGAAACATTATATTCCACACTGTTAATCAAGCACCACAAGTTAGTTAGAAATGCAAAAACCCTAAATGATCCGACTATCTTAAAACGAAAGATCGAAGATAAAGAGGAGTTCGCAGATATCTCGACGAAAAACAGAGGCAAAGAAACCCACAAATTCAAGTAAGTCACTTAGCCAAAAGTAAAATGCACAGATAAAATGGGTCCTAATAAACCCCAAAAGGTTTCAGAAGAGTAAAAAGACAACAATAAAGCAAAAGAAAAGAAAGGAACGCAAATCAAGAGAACAGGGGAAAGGATTAAAAAAACAGAAGAATAGCTCAGACAGATTAAAGTCATCAAACATCAAACCCCAGAGCAAAGGTAAGCAAAACAAAAGACGAACATATGCACGTGGATGATTTAAAACGTATAGAAAGAAAACAAAAAAGAAAAATGAATAAACAGCGAAGATACAATAGGACGAATACAAGAAAAGATATCATAAAGGTACTACTAAAGAGAAATAATAAAAAAAAAGAAAGGTCGAAGAAACAAAACCCACTTGATCTGCTCATTGATGGCGACCTCACAGTCATCGGTGTACTTCTGACGAGAAAGGGAGTCTTGGGGAACAGTCGGAACGAGAACGAGCTCTTTCTTCACCTCTTCGAAGGGCTCGAAAACAATACCAGTAAGCGGTCGATGATTCGAGTCCTTTGATGCACAAAGAACAAATCCATCGCTTCCTCTTCTCCGAGAAAAGCTCAGAGATGGGGAAGACGAAAAAGCAGAGGAAGAAAAATGGGAGACGAGACTCTCCCCTTGTGCGGTCGGGATGGACAAAGATGAAGCAGCAGCTCTGAGAAGCATATTTACTTATCTATTGAACGAGAAAGAAAGATCGAAACACAGAGCTAAAGATCACTACCTCTGGCTTCTAAACAGAGAGAAAAGAGGAGGGAAGAACGAATCAGTGAGAGAGAAGATCGAGAGAGGAAGAGGGCTAGAGTGAAGGATGAAGGGACGGGTGTGGTCAGGAGCCAAAGATATAGAAATGGTGGGAAACTGTTGGGGGTGGCTCTTTTCATTTCAACCATTAGATGTCAGCCACGTGGATGGATAGGATAGAGTGAACAAGAGAAGCGCGTGGCGGCCTCGTGGTTTCGGTGGAGATGCTTCTGGGAATCGTATCGAAATATCTGAACTTCTCTCTCTCTCGTCTGGACTCTAGGGTTTCTCTTCTGCGCTATTTGTCCTTTGTCCGTTTGCGTCTGTCATGGTATCACCTTTAACGGGTGGATATCATCAAATTAAAATCCTCTTATTTATTAATTAATATTTGTGGATTAAAAATACATATTTTAATTAATATATTGTGGCCAAGAAATTTGGATCACTTTTAAATTTTCTATTGACTATTTTCATGGTTGAATAATAAGAAGAATAGTATTATATTATTATTATGTGGAAAAGATGTGATTTTGACAGTTGTATACCACTCAATCCCTTGATCCAACGGTGGATAGTTGTCGGGGTCAATCAAAAGAGTCCATTATTTTATCGGACATACAACAATAATTAACAGTCCAATCTTAAAATAACTTAGCCGGTTATCCATCCAACTTAAATTAAGGGTGTTTATAAGTCTTTTGTGGTTTTCAATGGTCAGAATATCAAAATTTGGCTTTTCTCTGTTTGGTAACGAAAGACGGAAAATCAGAAAGACCGGAACCCTAGAAAGCTCATGGAAGTTTAAAGTGATCAAAAATTATGAAAACTCCTGTCATTCTGCACTTAAAATTTTTGATTTAATAGTCCAATACAAGATTGGAGAGAGGTGAATTATTAATTATTAAAATAAATTTGGTCATCCAACTTAAATTAGGTGTGTTTGGTAAATCTTTTTTTTCGGTATTTTGGGTTTTTGAAAGCTCAGAATATCGAAGTTTGATTTTTTTTTTCTTTTCTTATTTGGCAATGAAAGATGGGGAATCAGAAAGGTCAGCACTTAGAAAGTTCATGAAAGTTTAAAATGGTCAAAAATTAATGAAAATTCTTGTTTTTCTGCACCTAAAATCTTTTATTTAACGGTACAATAGATTACACTACAGCAAACCAGAATACTTATCAAATCATCTTAATCTTTAAAGACAGAGACTCCAAAAGGTCAATATGTCTTTTGGGTGTCAATTGGATTGGATTTGGCCCAATCCGATCCAATCTAATGTAAGTCCATTATAAATAAATTGGGTCCAATCCAATCCAATGAATATTTTAGACCATTTTGAATTTGTTCAATTCAATGCCTGAACCGTCTAATGTATTCAATTTTATTTTAATTAATATTAATTTTAACTCAAACTTAGTCCATTAACACCTATATTCCTATCTTCTATCAATGGATCAGATATTAGCTCAATCGAACCTAATTCTATATAAATTCATTATGAAGGAATCAAGTCCAATTCAAACCAATAAATACTTTGGATCATTAAATCTAAATCTAGACGAGTCCAATTTAATTTGTCCTGGGTCCGATCCAAAATCGATCCATTGACACGTCGGTGATTACTCGATTTATAAGAGGCATGGAATAGAGTCATCGCTGTACATTTAAAGTCGAATTTATAAGAGGCATGGAATTGCAGAACAAGACCAGAGAAGAAGTATTTTTCCTTTTATTGTCTGTGAATTTTACAGGGGAATAGAGTGAACTAATAGTGACTCGTTCAAACTTATCCTTTGAACAAGTTGGCATTGTCTTCTCTTTGGGGGGTTGTTGAGTTTGAGGCTTTTTTTTTATAATGGTTAGCTGGAAAAATAAATAATAGAAACAAGGGGACGTTTGACAAGGAGACATTCGTCGGAAAGATAATTCAACAAAAGACTAATCAAACGACAACCAAGATGCCTATTCTTTTTTTTCGTTTCTTTTCTTTTTTTAATGCTTTTCCTCATCTTTTGGTGGAGGAAATAATGGGGGCGCACATAGTTTTGGGTTTGTGAATAAAGATTAGAGTCTGTTACCAAATATGCAGGAGACAGAGCAACTCCATCTCCATCTGAGGATTTTTTACCCAAAAAAAAAAGAAAAAAAGAAAATCTCTATCTGAAGATGGGCTTCTAGCCCTTCTCATGATTTGCCATAGTAGTTGTTGTTGGATAAAGAGAAAAAAAATACTTTATTTATGAAGGTGATGCAGAAAGCACATGTCATTTTGGACCTCCATTAAAACTTGAACAGAAAAGATTCTTTCTTCACCTGGATGCCCAGATCTCTAGCTCCTTGTGTTGTATTTATTTATAAGTGAGAGTTCTGAAACCAATTCTAACAATTAAGTATAGCTTAAATACTCACTCACTGTTCTTCTGTTCGGGGGGAAATTGAAAATCCTTTCAGTGAAATCTTGTTCCTGAGAGTTAGAATAGAACCCACCTGTCCACTTAGCCCTCCCAAACAGGCACTTACAAATGCAACACTGACGACAAATGAAATGTGAACACACCAATGATTTAAACCAAATACCAATTGATGCGATGTTTTGTTTTTTTCTCTCAAACATTGGTGTGTTTGCATTTTATTGAGGTGTCTCCAGATTGGTATGTTTGGTGAAAAAAACCCCAAAATTTATATTAATTGTTAGTCAGTCGGYCATTGGACTGTCCATTTCAGCGGTTAAACCTCTTTAGGGCATGGTTTTCAAAACTGGACCAGACTGGACGGTCGGACCGGAAAAACCGGTAACCGGTTAGTCACCCGGGTCCAATTTTACTAAAAATCGAAAATTTGAAAAAAAAATGTTGAAAAGTCAAAATAAACCGCTGATCCAGTTGCTCGGACCGTTAAACTGTTCGACCTGGGCAGCGGTTCGTGGATTAATATTTTTTTAATGTTTTAAATAAAAAAATAAAAAATAAAATACCAATTTGATTTTTGAATCCCAGTCCCTTATTCGGTTTAGCTTTTAGGGTTATTTCCCGAGTTCCCTTCTCACTCCTCAGTCCTCTCAAGTCTCAACCCTCACACCCTACCACCTTTGGCGGCCATCAATTCCGGCATCCGACAGCGACACACACAAACAATGATCGACGAACTTGCAACAGTGAAAAGAGTCACCCTCACCCCAAGCACTCGGAAAACTTGCAGCGGCGGACGGTGAGCTTGCAGCGGCGAATGGCAAGTTTACAGCAACACTCGGCACTGGACAAGCTTGCTGACTCAATACACAAGATGTATGCAGTCTTATACCCTTGAAGGCTTCAATCTGAACTGATAAGCAAGGAATATCTTAAATTTTATCAAATCAACACATTCTTCTTCTTCTATCTTTCTTATTCTTCGTTTTGCTATGAAAAAAACAGGGTCTCATCCTATATTTTTCTGAATTTTCTTTCTTTTTTTCTTCTCAAAATATGTTTTGATATGAAATTTATGCTTTCTTCTCAAAATATGTTCAGATAATTTTTTTGAACTGATATGCTTTTTTCTTCTCAAAAGAACAAGTGCTCATTACATATTTTTTCTATATTTATTGGAAATTTTCTGTATTTTATTATTTTTATATTTAGATATTTTTTATTTTTTTCATATGTTGTTTTTTTCCTATATTTTTCTGTGTATTTTTTGTATTTTATTTAAATTTTTAGTATTTTTTATTATATATAAGTATTTTTGTTTTTTATTTATTTATAATGTCACGGGTCAAACCGCTCGACCCAAACGGKTGAACCACCAAACCGGAAAATGGTGCCCTGACCAGTTCAGTTTTAAAAACCATGCTTTGAGGTGCTTATTCGGAAAGCCTCCAAGCAGCTGAACACCTGAACAAGCTTAGTTGAATGTTCAGTGCACACAACAATTTTACTTCTAGGAGACCTGCGCTCAAATGAACCGCACCTCCTGACCCACTTCCCCACTCTACCAATAAAAAGACACTTGTCTCATCATCTATTTTTGCAGGGTTCACTTTGTTCATTTAGGTGATGTTTGGCATCGACACCATTTTTTTGAGAAAATGTGCCACATCAGAGAAAGCAGTGTTTTAAACAACGCCTTCTTGTTTGGTACTGTTTTTTTTTTCTAGAAAAAACGTTGTTGCAGACCATGTCTTGTAAATCGGGAAAGTGTGATTTAGCGCAATGCCAAATTCAATGTTTTTTGAGAAAATGGCGTAGTATTGCCAGAGGTGCAATGATGTAGCATCATCTTAGATGTTGGATAATATAGATCAATGTCGAAAACATTGTTGCCAGAACTAGTACCAAACAAAACCAATGTTGTTTTCTCAGAAAACGTCTATATGGCAGCACGGGTTCCCAATAAAAAATAAGTTGTGCTTACAACTCCACATGTCTAGCACCGTTTTTAAGAGAAAATGGCGCATTTCTACTAACAGTGCAATGATGTGGCATCATGTTGAATATTGGATAATATAGATCAATGTTGAAAACGTTGCTACCAACATGGTACCAAACAAAATTAGTATTGTTTTCTTGGAAAACGCCTGTGGCAGCACCGATTCCAAACAAAAAAATAAATTGTACTTACAACTCCACATATTCAACACCGTTTTTTCATAAAAATAGTGTGATATTCCCAACACTGATGCCAAACACCTATTTAACCATGAAATGCTTTTTTTTTCACTGTGGATGTTGCAATCGTTATCATGAGAAGTTAAAAAACCCCCCAAGTCTCAAACATGAAGCCCGAGGGACCTGATATTTATATCCAACAGAGAAACAAGCATTGCCTCGTTTATAAACAGAGTTCAAATTCTCTTTTCTTTCTATATTTCATCTTGTTGAATAAAAGAAGTGCTCTCTTTTTTCATAGGTTTTCCTAGCTATGTCCATAAAATCTCAGATTGACATGGCTGAAGAGGATTTAAAAAATAAAAAATTGTTAAATTTGCGAAAGATGAGGTCCATATCCAATTCATCCCTCCCAACAGTTAGATGTAACCAACATGGGATAAAAGCTTTTATGCAAGTCTTAGGTTTAGGTGATGTTTTGGCATTGATGCTAT